TCGTCCCGCGGTATACGTTCCCAACCCGTCTTAAACCTCTTCTTGCTTGCGTCGAAGCGAGGCAACGGATGCGCCTCAGTATTCAGGACGATTTGATCGAGAGGGAGGAGGTCGTCGGGGGAGAAGAGGAGGTACATGTATTTGAGTGTCTCGGCCTGCATGAATGTGTTAGTAAACCAGTCCAATACCCCTGAGAGAAGTGAAGACGACGGGGAAAAAGAACTTACAAGCCAGAAACTCTCCATGTTGTCCCGCGACGGAGGAGGTACCTTCGTCACATCACCGATACTAGAGAACCCGCCATTGTCCTCTACGATAGTGTGTTTTACAAAAGCCTCGAACATATCCCAGCCCCATTCGCGGTAGATGTCGTCGCCGGTTATGCGCCACATGTACAGGAGCGACTCTACCGTTTCTGGTCGCTGGAGGTTATGCGTATCAGCTGGCTTGAGGTCGAAATCGCTCTTCCAGCCCTCGCCGTCGGGGACACTGGTGTCGAGCTCGGATTTGGACGCGAGGATCTCGGTGCGGTACATCTTGGGCGGGTCGTCGAGCTGGAAGTAGGCGATTTCAGGGGCGAGACCTGTGGCGGTTACTTTGTACATGCCCATGCATGTCTTTGTGAGTTCGCGGGCGAGGGTAATGTCTTCTTCTTGTGCTTTGCCCCAGGTGGGTAGTTTGCGTGCCTCAGCGAGGGGAATACCACCGGTTGCAGCGAGGGCGATGGTGCCGGGTAGGAAACAGACAAGGTGGTCCATTTTGGGGTGCAGTTTGCCTTCGATACCGCTTGGTCGCTCTGCTAGGACGGTGAAGTGGCTGTTCTTCGTGTATGTGAGGAGATGCTTCTTTGCGCCGTTGAGCGACTCGTTCCACATCTCTTGGTAGACTGGTTCTTGCTTCTGGGTTTGTAGGTACTGCTTGATGAGGTATTCGTAGTAGCTGTCTCCACGACTGCCCCATCGAATCTCGCTTCCGCGAAAGGTGCCTTTGTCTGCATAGATGAAGATGGGTAGGAGACCGTCTTTGGCACCGTTGTCGTCCACGACTTTCATTACTTTCTCGGCCACATCCCAGTAGTGTGCCTCGCCGGTGAGGAACGCTAGGTATTTCATCTCGAGTTGGAGAGTGGTTGCTTCGGCTGTGGACGACGCACCGCCGTCGGCGTGCGAGGCTTCGCCTTTGGCGTCTCTTAGGATCACACTGGCCCAGGGCACACCCGAAGGTGACTCGTACGCGCCCATGAGACGATCAGCCAGGTCGGTAGCTTTCTCCAGGAAGAGGTCCTCCTCGTTCGAGTTCTCAGGCTTCAGGCCTGGAAGTGTCTCTTGCAAGTAGTGTGCAGACAGCAGACCACCAAGCATGCGTATAGTTGTCTCAAAGGTATTGACATCCTGCTTCTTGTCGTAATCGAGACTCGTCGAGATCCATTGCCGTGCGTGGGTGAGTTCTTTGGTGAGGTTCATGATCATGAGCGTGTCGAGTGCGTCCACGATGATCCAGCCCAGACCGTTGGGCTCAGCCATGTATCGACCCTTCTTCGAAACGGGGTGGTACTCGTCGTAACCCCAGCCATGCTCCTCATACGCGTTCCAACTCAGTAGGAAGGCGTCTTTGACTGCTTGTCTCCGCTTCTCCCAGTCAACTTTGCTCTTCTTTCCGGCAGCACTTCCACCTATATTTGACAACAAGCTCTTGCCCCTATCCTTCTCGTCTTGTACTGTGCCCACGTTTGTGCCACCACTAGACCATCCGAACCAGTAGAACAGCCCCAGCACTACCAGTGCTATCAGCGACATGCCCCTCTTACTCCGCAGGAAGCCTTTCCTTCCCCTCGCACCACCGCCATATCCATAGCTTTTCCCCGAAGGCTTGTCCTTATACATTGGCAAGCCCTTTTCGTTCCCCGGTAGTTTGTTCCAAACATTATCTTCAAACTTTCGTTGCGCGCTCTCGAAATTGGGTACGTTGCGCGGGATGGCGAAGGACATATCTGAGTCCTGGATCGCCTGTTTCGTGGCCTCGACTGCCTGCTTGGTCGATTCGACGGCTTGCGAGGCTTTCTTGTTGGCGGCGTTCTGGAGGACGGCGAAGGCGGAGGGTGTCTTGAATGCTGTTTTGCTGCGGAGGTTGAACGGGTCGCGTGTCGAGTTCATGAGGCGGCGCGACGCGTAGTGCTGATTAAACAATAGACCAGGCGGAGCGAGTGTAGTTCACCCTTGCGAAGTCTGATAACTTGTCATCTTGCTCCAGACTCCAGTCGACTTGGGAAGCAATGCTCAAAGCGCCCTCTGTCTGACTCGCCAGGTGTTCATTGCGCATCCCCGATGCAGATAGCTTGGCTAGACAGGGGTCCCGCATCTCAGGAAACCTCAGCCACAGCGGAGTTCAACGGGGAAGCTCCACCTTCAAACCTCAGCCTCGTTGCGACTCGCAAGCATCGCTCTTCCTTGTGCTACAGGTAGGACACGCGTACTCAGGCACAGGCACAGTATAGCCTCCTGCCGCAACCATATATATCTCAGCAGAATGAGGTATATCAACAGTAGCTGCGATGCGGCAATGTGTTTCCAGAAGTACTCGAGCATTGTTCTCATGATCACCGCCCACCCTGCAGTATTTACGATTACCGCGTCTTGTCGTCATTGCTATCTACGCGTTACGTGATGGCGTTCTACACCAAGGACGAGGTGCGCTTCCTATTCTTTGCTCTCTTTTCCTGCCTACCCTTACACCGTTGCTTTCGCATTGCTCGCACACCTTCCCCGCCAGTACATAGAACAGAGACACCTAGCATCGGAAAGTCACAATCAAGAGTGCATGTACGGAAGAGCAAGACGAAGCGATACGATTCTTCATCTACCATAACCATCTCACCAAGCGAAACGCAATGTCAGGTGCAAGCATGAAGCGCATTCAGATTACACCAGACGGCTCGGGTCCACCTACGAAACTCGACACCGACGTTCCTACCTCTTTACCCGACGCCAAAGAGACCAAGATCCATCCTCAGAACGCCCCAGACGCTTCAACAAATGCCTCCCTCTTCTTCGTTGGAACTGCAACTACAATCTTAGAGTGGGAAGGCATCCGCATTCTCACTGATCCCAACTTCCTACATGCTGGCGATCATGTTCACCTGGGTCCGGGCGTTGGTGCGACGAGACAGACCAACCCTGCCATCGATTTGGAAGAGCTACCGAGAATCGATGTGATCTTGCTGTCGCATTACCACGAAGATCACTTCGACCGAGAAGTAGAGGAGAAACTGTCAAAAGGTCTCCCGATCATCACTACACCACATGCCAAGGAATGCTTGACAGGCAAAGGCGAGGAGTCATTCAAGAATGTGCATGCGCTCGACTTCTGGAACAGCTTGCTCCTGGATGTATCGCAGTCAGAACAAACAAACCAAAGCGGTCCGAAGCCGAGCATCAAAGTCACAGGTGTGCCGGGAAAGCATGTCCCTCCAGGTCCACTGAACGTTGCCAACGATATTCTTGGCGCCGTACCACCTACCAATGGCTGGATGGTCGAACTCGGGTACTCAAATGGCTCTTCTGGCGATGGCAGCGATTTCGAAAACGGGTACCGGATCTACATCTCCGGCGACACGTTAATGGTGGACGAGCTCAAGGAGATCCCTGAGCGATACAAGGACCAGAACATCGACCTGATGCTAGTCCACCTGGGAGGCACTACGATTCCTGGGCCTAAGATGCCGTTGCTGATGGTCACAATGGACGCCGAGCAGGGTGTACAGCTCATGCAGCTCATCAATCCCGACCTGACGATTCCGATTCATTACGACGATTACGATGTGTTCCTGAGCCCGCTGGACGATTTCAAGAAGGCGGTACACGCGGCGGGTCTAGATAGCAAGGTTGTGTATCTGGACCGCAAGGATCAGTACAAGTTCAACGTGAAACAAGGACAGAAGCCGAAGCAATCGCTGTATGAGTAGCCCTATCGGTAGTGACTCTGTAACTAGCTGTTCAGCAAAATTGACCATGATACATGATGATTCTTGGTGCACGTCGGAAACAGGCTGTGGTGTTCGGAATGAAGTTTGACTTTTTTCATTCCTGGTGGTAACCCAGTGTGAAGGGTTCCGTGATGCCATTGAACAAAATTTATCCGTTGAGACGCCGTCCGCCCATGCCTTCTTGCTTCGTGCGCATCGTGCGTTGATGTCCTTGCACACTTCTGTCCTCGGTTCCTCACGCGTTCGATCCGTTTATGCGTGCTTGCCCTTGGGGTTCTTCTTGCCAACGTCGGTGATGGTAAGACCTGCGGTTGTTAGATTCGTGTCATTGGCGCTGGAGTATTGGGGATGTGCGTACCCGGGGGCAGACTCTGCTTGAGCTTCTCGGCCTTGTCGGTGTCCTTAAGAACGAGGGTGTAGACGTTTGTTGAGCATCGGACCTTGAACTTGATGTTGTTGACCTTCTTGTTCTTCTTTATGCGGGCGGCTGCAATAATGTCAGTCCAGTGCTCTCATCACATTCGTTGCCTCGATCGTCGCAGGTCTCTGCGGCTCGCATTCATCGTGCACAATCCCTCCTCCTACTGCGACCGCAACTTTCCCCCGGCGGAAGTGGTAGACGTACACTTGGCATCCTTGCGCCTGCAGATCTCGATGAACTGCTTGATGTCGGAAACTTCGGAAGGCATCTTGACGATTTGTGTGTGGACGGGTCGTTGGAGTTCGGGATCGTGAAGTTCGGAGACGCCTAGGCACAGGCCAAAAATGCTGTGGACTCGCTTGAAACGCACGGGCTACGAAGGGGCTGCCCGCAAGCGTTGCTGCTTTGGGCCTGGTGGGGTGACGACGAGTGTGGCGTAAACCAGGAACGCTATGGCTGCGTCGCGTGAAACAGTACTGCCTACAACCCTATAATTGCTGCAATTCTTCTCCAAAGTTCATCCCGCTCCTCGTCTCGCTCAAAACTCCTTGAATCTCTCTCCACACACGCACATACGGCCAACTTCCACCGTTCAGCATGCCGACCCCCATCGATCGCGCGGTCCAACAACGTGTAGGTTACTCATGGCTCTCCTGGCATCTACTTTACATAGTGGGCCTTCTACATGCTGCTGAAAGTACATGCTGACATGATCCAGGGCCCTTTCTTCGCTTTTGCCGCAGTCGTCGCTGGTGTAGCAGCATGGAGCATCTGGGGACAAGACATCTTCCCTAGTCAAGACCCTACTGGCGGTACGTCAATCTGAACCTCTTCATCGGCAAAGCGTCCCTGAAGTCCAGTTTTGCTGACAATGATTCCAGACCCAGAAACATGGACACATGATCAATGCGTTACCTGGCTCAAGCACGTAAGTTCTCTAAAGCCTCGGTGTGACGAAGGACACAAGATAGCTTTGGCTACCTCTCAGCTATAGAATACCTTCGTCAAACTGAGGTACAGCCTGTTGGTCGTCTTCATGTTAACGCCATGGCAGAGAAACCTACATCCCTCTCCCGTTGCAACAACCGCTGAGCTACTGGAGCGGATCAAGGCGAATATGAGGGTCGCTAGAGAACGAACACCAGGTCAATAGACATGTGTAGCGCACGAAATCTATCCAAATCAATCAAATTGCAGGCTTAGTTACAAACTTCCAGCACCGAGAGACCCTTTGACTCATGAGCCGGGCTGAATGTCGACTAAGCCCCCCTAACTCCTGCAGAACACCTTGGTAGTCGCCTGGCTGAGCCGTTGCTCACCGATTGAACGCCAAATCAACTCCGAATACCTCCAGGCCTCATCGTATTTCTCGCCAAATAACTCCTGCAGAATACCACGGTAGTCGCCTGGCTGAGCCATCATCCATTTGTCCAGCGCATAAAAAATCTTGACTTCCTCCCGGGCTCATCATATCGCATCAACGCCGTACTCCTTCCAACACTTTTTTTGGCCCATTTCGTTACTCCAGCCTCATACTAGTTGCCACCATCCGCCTTCTTGAACTCCTGCAGAACCTCAACGCTAGCGCTGTAGTGCTCAGCCTCCTCGGTGTAAGCGCTTTCCTCTTCCAGCATCTCTCGGTTGAGACGATCCAGCTCCTCCGCCATACGCTGCTTGTAAGGTCCCATCTGCGCATCGATTTCTACCTGCTTCGTAGCGGTCTCCGCACGCCTCTTGCGCATGTCCTCGAGGTTCTTTCGCTGGTCTGCGAGCTGGCGTTCGATCGAAAGCGTCTTAGGTGTGGAGGAGCGCGGTACTACAGGCTGGGCGATAGGTAACATAGGCGTAGGCGTAGGCATCGTACGCTTTGGCTCTGGTGGTGTTATACCGTTGGTGGTGGTAGATGAACGTTTGGCTGGTATGACTGCCACGGGGGGCGTATCTGACTTCTTCTGACCGTCGGTAGTGTTGATAGGCTTTTTGGTAGTCGCCTTGGCTACGGCTACAGATTTCTCTGCGTGCGCATTTGCGGGCTTGGTGCTTGATTCTGGAAGGCAGGGTACTTTCGCAGTCATATCGGCCGTCGGTACAGAAGGCGCTTCGGGGGTCGCAGTCTGTGCTTGATCTTTAGGGGATGACATCGTGGTAGCCTCGGAGGGATTTGGTGGAGGTCCAGGTTTCTTGATGGGGCAGGATATCTATAGGTAGATGTCAGGAGCAGGCAACAATCAGGCTGATTTGAGAATTTGAAGTGACGCAGAGATGAAACTGTGGAAAGGTAAAGTTGGGAAACCGTTTCTCTTGCCTTTGGTATCGGCTGTGCGCTTTTTGCTGGCGTGGTGGGAAGCATCGGCGATTCCGATCGCGACGAGGCGTCTTCGTCATTCTTCGATAAGGGCTTTGCGCCAATGGTAAGAGGAGGAAGAGGTTCCAGCACTAGAGTATGTGCTTCGCCTATATCTTTGTCGTCAGGGTCAAAACTCATTGACATGTTCTCCTCGAGAATTTCAGCTAAGATATCACGTTAGCCTGATAGCCAGAATCCAGTCTAGCAAGCTAACCTTCAGTTCGATAGTGGAAGCGAAATATAGCCCACGGCTCTGTACCTGGGCGTTTCGCATCCGCCCTACGCTGGTAGGTTTTCGGTTGATTATCCTCCAGTGGAGTAGTGTCCTTTTCGAAGGACATCCTGAAAATGGGAGCTATGCGGTTGTAGCCTACTTTCTGCTCGATGCCGCCCGTATCCCTGTCTTTCATATCACTTTCATGGGCGTAGTACTTCTTTACTTTGCCAATTTCGTGCCAGTCTCCCAGTTGGCGGGTGATGTACAGTCGCAGCTCAATGGTGCCGATGGTCTCTGGGGCGTCGTTTTGAATCGTAACAGCGTGCTCGAGTGGAGTCACAGTAATGTCAGTATCGATGATGCCTTTGGTGGTCTTGCATAGAAAGGTTTCGGTGTCCAGTTTCCGGTTGTGTAGGATCACTGACTTAGCCACATGCGAGCCGGCTTTACGGAGTATCCCGTCCACGAACGTGTCGTAGGCTACAGCCAGAGTCTTTAGTTTCGTTAGAAAGTTCTGATGAGTTTATGTAAGTGATAGTTACCTTGCCGGAGAACCTGCCGCCCACTTTAGGCTGATGGCCCTCATCGATGGGTACATAGCAGCAAATCGCGTTGTCTCTTGGGTCCACATACTCTCCGTATTCTTCAAGCGCCTGAACTTGACACTTGACAAAAATGTTGACTTGGGCCTTTCTGTCGGTGTCCCTCTCAATCACTCTCATATTTGAGAATGTTGTGTAAGACGTGGATTCAGAGTAGTTAAGACGTGTTTGGTGAAGAGTCGGTGATTTCCCTCACGTGAGCCCAGAGTGAGTCGGTGATCAATGCGAAGGGGCTGCTCGATTAAGTAGTGCGGAGGTCGTTATCGTACTATATGTGACGCGAGCTAGTTGAGTACGTTCGTGTGAATTGGCAGAAGACGTGTCTATGCGGCAAACTGGATCGATGCTCGCCGACAGAGTCTCATATGAGTAGTACTGACAGCGCGGAAGGTCGAGGATACCTGACGGTATGCGCGCTTTCGCCGCTGCCCGACGCGCTTTGGGGCTTCGGTAGTCGCGTGCCTGCTGTTTTGGGCCACTAGGGGCAGCGTGAGCCTGGAGAAGAAAGCTTGGTATGAGACCGAAGATAATAGAAAATATCCGAGATGGGAAAGGGTGGAGAGAGAGGAAGAGGGTGCGTCTTAAAGATTGGGAGACCTGATGAAGACGGCAGAGTGGTGAGGTGAAGGTGAGAATAGTCAGTTGGGTGACACATGCTAGAGAAACGCTGTGATGCCAGGGACTGCCACGTCTGCAAAGCATAAGTGAGAGTCTCCTTAGGAGCGCTCATATACTCAGACGAACGTGCCGGCTGATGTAACTAGACCAACTCGTAGAAAGCATCAAATCTAGACTGCTCTACTGAGCAGCACGTCTCCAAGAGTCCAAATGCTACATGATCTGTAAGAGCAACTTAACATGATTCCCTCTTTTGCTCTTAAAGTAAACTGTTATAACCAACCTGTGGGTTCTGCCACACCTGTAGCATGATACAAAGAGCGCATTTAGCATATTGTGGGAAAATCACGTTAACTGGCCGTTGTACACTGACCCTATGAGCGTTAGATTTTCCATCGCCGCTTATCAGATGAATTCTGTTGTAGCATGCGACTCATTGCCCATGCGATCACATGCAAATGGAGCTGTGATGAATTAGGCAGACACTGCGACTGTGAAAATGGAAAGAAACATCCGGAGTACAACAGCTGCGAAAACAGAAAGAAGCAATTATCGGAACGAGTGAAAGACATCCATGGATGGTGCCCTGCGTCGGAGATAATAGAGAGAGCGAGCCGCGGCGGAAGGACGGATGTGGTCATTCGCCAAGCGCGGTTTCTTCCTTCGGTTCGGATGCATTTTCGGGGGACGGCAGCTTCAGCTTGTTTCTCTCCACCTCAAATCCCTCACCACCAGCCCAACGCCGCAACTCCACCATGTTGTCGAGGACCTCTCAAAGAACAGCGCAGGTACGAGCAAGACGATGCGCCCGCAATTGGCGGGCGCGGTGGGAATTCGAGTGCTAATGCGCCTGTGCAGACGCTCCTGCGGGGCGCGAAGCCTGCCTCTCGATGGGCACCCGCCATGGCTACCCGCTGTACGAAGACCACGTGAAAGATATCCAAAAATGCAGAGTCTAACGCGGCGACAGCAATGGCCACGGTCACCCAGGACATCTTCAAGCCCACCAAGTTCGGCGGCAAATACACCGTTACCTTGATTCCCGGTATGCGCGATAGCCGCCTATAAATGGACATAGATTCTGAACATGCGCAGGTGACGGTATCGGTGCTGAGGTCTCCGAGTCGGTCAAGGAGATCTTCAAGGCGGACAACGTGCCCATTGAGTGGGAGCAGGTCGACGTCTCTGGTGTCGACTCTGGCAACGTCCACTCCGAGGAGCTCCTCCGCGAGTCCATTGCCTCGCTCAAGCGCAACAAGCTCGGTCTCAAGGGTATCCTCCACACGCCCGTCGAGCGCTCCGGCCACCGCTCCTTCAACGTTGCTCTCCGTCAAGAGCTCGACATCTACGCCTCCATCGTCCTCCTCAAGAACATCCCCGGTTACGAGACGCGCCACAAGGACATCGACTTCTGCATCATCCGTGAGAACACCGAGGGTGAATACTCTGGTCTCGAGCACCAGTCGGTCAACGGCGTCGTCGAGTCGCTCAAGATCATCACCCGTGAGAAGTCGGAGCGCATCGCCAAGTTTGCTTTCGCCTTTGCGCTCGCCAACAACCGCAAGAAGGTTACCTGCATCCACAAGGCCAACATCATGAAGCTCGCCGACGGTCTATTCCGCAACACCGTCAAGAGGGTTGGTGAGGACTACCCCACTCTCGAGACCAACGACATGATTGTCGACAACGCCTCCATGCAGTGTGTCTCAAGGCCCCAGCAATTCGACGTCATGGTCATGCCCAACTTGTACGGAGGTATCCTTTCCAACATTGGTGCTGGTCTCGTTGGTGGTCCTGGTATCGTCCCCGGTTGCAACATGGGCCGTAACGTCGCCGTTTTCGAGCCTGGATGCCGTCACGTCGGTCTCGACATCAAGGGCAAGGACCAGGCCAACCCCACTGCTCTGATCCTGTCCGCCGCCATGATGCTCCGTCACATTGGTCTCGATGACCACGCCAACCGCATCTCGCAGTCCGTCTACAAGGTTATTGCTGACGGGTAAGTTTGAATTCCAAATGAAGAGCAACACATGCCTAACATCATCTAGTACCGCCCGCACACGCGACATGGGAGGCAACACCACCACCCACGAGTTCACCCGCGCAGTCCTGAACCAGATGGAGAAGGCATGATTTAGCCATCATGATCTTCGTGTTTGCTAAGCTTTGATCTAGCGCGATGATACCGTCACATCTAGGCCTCGGCTCACATTGGGTTAACCTAGGATATGGAGCAATAACATATTTTCTTAACGATTGGACGCAATGGCACTTGTACAACTACCAGCTGGAATGTGAATAGAGCTGTATTTGTAGGTGGTATATAGCATGCTGCATGATTGAATTGACCATTCTTATACCCTCGTGAAAATGCCAGACCCAGAACTCCGTGCTATGCGTATCATCGTCATCGTGATGTGGGTATATCTAGAATTGGATCCTCCTCTTCCTGCCAGTGTACTTGGACGAGGCCTTGACGACCTTGCCCTGTCTCTCCATCTGCTCCTTCTTCTTCATGATGTACGCCTTGCTGCCTTTACGCTCCTCGCCCCTCTTCATGCCCTTGGCCTTTCTCCGTGCGTCCTCGACGTCAACGCCGTCCATACCCCTCACAACGCCCGTGATATCGCCATCCAGCGCGCCACCACCCACGGTCAGAACAAGATACGTCTTCGCGCTCTTAGTCCCCATATCATCCTCCAAAAGACCCGCACCGAAACCAGCCTTAATCGCCGCCTGCGCCACCATCTTCTTTTGCGCATCGTTCTTAGGGTAGAATTGACAAACCGCCCTCCCTCCCCTCTTCAAACTCGCATAAAGCTGGTTGAAGAACCTCGATAACCTGCCCGCAGGACTCTCCTCGCTCGTCTCAGCATTACACAGCCATTGAACCGCACTGATGCTAATCGCAGCATCGAAAGTTCCCGGCCGAAACGGTACGCCCTGCCCCGCATCCGCCAGCAGTAGATCTCCTTCTACCTCTTTCTCCAGCGCAACGCCCAGCATGGATGCGCTGATGTCGAAACCGATCCATACATGTGGACCGCCGGGTGTGCCTTGTTCAGCGGAATGCGACAGGATTTCGCCGCTGAGACCGGAGCCGCAGCCGACGTCGAGGATCATGGATGGCGAGGTGAGCGCGAGGAGGGAGAGGGCGCGGTGGGTCATTGTAGATTGGATCTTTTGGATACGAGAGGAGGTGGTGTATTTGCGCGATTCGGAGTCATTATAGAAGAGATCGGGTGGTCTGCAGACAGGTAAGCGCTGTGTTCTTCGCTATGCGATTTGCGGTGTTGGGAGGATTGCGTACAGGATGTCTTCGGGGCGAGACATGGTTGCAGTTGTTAAGTCTGAATCGCTGGACAAACGACTGTAGTACTCTCCTTATCGCGTGGAAATATGAAACTCGTTTGCGCAGTGATTGTCGAAAGCGTGCGTGTCTGTCAGTTGCTCGATGCACCTTCAGCCAAGAGTTCGCACGACTTTTTGGAGTTGGACCCCACACTCTGGCACGGGTCCACGGGTTTCTCCGCTAGCCTTGATGCCACCTTTGGACTGACCTCATCGTGCCGCGGCCAAACTTCCAGGCTTCCAAACTTCATCTCTCTTCGCATTCCCCTGAAGTGTGTCAAAAGCCAACATGTGGATATTACCGCTGCTTGGATATGTCGGCGTTATCCTGGGCTTCGCGTTCCTGACGCTTGCGATAGGTACTTTGCTGTGATGCTCTCGGTCTTTGGCTTCATGGGGCTAACGCAACGTAGCTTCCGGCCTGTACTACCTTTCTGAACTCGTGGAGGAGCATACCGTCTTCGCGAAGAAACTGCTCTACCGGCTCATTTATGGCGTCGTTGGCATACAAACACTCCTTCTCGTAGTCGATAGGTTTCCAATTGGACTCAGCGCATTGAGTGTCGGGTCGCATTTCATCTATGCGCAGAACCTAAGGCGGTTCCCTATCGTCAAGCTCACGGATCCACTCTTCTTGGCCTCTTGTGGTATGCTATGATGCTTGGAAGTCTCTACCGGCGCAATGCTGACCATCATTTCCAGCTCTTGTAATCGCGAACCACTACCTGTGGTTCCGCCACTTCAGTGCTCCACCGGCAAACACGTACTCCTCGTATCCCTACTCTCGCGATGCCAACATTCCTACCTTCACCGAAATCGCATCCTACTTCGGCCTCTGCGTGTGGCTAGTCCCCTTCGCCTTGTTCGTCTCCTTGTCGGCTGGCGAGAATGTGCTTCCCTCGATGGGCTCAGAGTACGCGACCGGAGACGGTAGCAGCTACATCACGCCAGGAACAGCACCAGCATCATACGGGACCGGAACAGGCATTGGCGTCGGTGGAGCCAGTAGTGGCACGGAAGGAAAGAGGAGGGCGAGAAGTGGAACAAACGCTGGCATGGCAAAGGCTGTTGTCACTGGCGTCAGAGAGTGGGTTGGGGAAACAGGAGAGGTTATGGGGTTGTGGAAGGGTGAGAGGACAAGGCCGACATTCTAAGAGCTGGGCCTCTTTGGGATATGATTGTACGAGTAATGTGGATGCTTCATGCAAAAGATTGTCGCGGATTGGTCGGTTTCCTACGTGCCTGCACTTGTGTCTCTTCACCCTGCGCGAAATCGCGCCATTGTCGTGAAAAGCGCCAAACGATATAGCGCACGCGACTTGCCAACCCACAGGCCTTCACTTTGTCTCACCCCACTTCCCACCTCAACTTCGCGCCACAAGACACTTTTGGGGATCTCTGATTTACTATTCCTACACCTTCATTCGCGATGGACGACGTACATCCCTTACGCACATACAAGGTGCTTCCGGTGCCCCAGGTACCCTAGATGCCGATGCTGCAACGCGAGACTGCGTCTATCCAGCCAGAGAAGATCGATACGCGCAGCGCCCGCAAACTCTTGTGCAAGGTCTTCAAGAAACCCTACGCCCATCCACCTGCCGCGAAGAAGTTGTAGGCCAATCATGTTCAATTCCTACTTGAAACGCCTCTCGGTCGCGACTTCAATCTGATTACCGCCGCTGGTGTGGAGTTCAAAGTACATTCTGTCATGTTGATTGGCGGCCCGAAGGCTTTACAGGAGGGACTGTTTCCTGGTGGTGTAAGCTTTCCGGCCTTGATATTTACTATGATTGAGACTAACATGACCAGGCAACAATTCCAAACCCACCAGAGTTCGTCAACCTGCCGCCTCACTTCCATCCTATCCTCATGGACCGAATCGTCAATTTCATCTACACCTCAGACTACCTGGTCGTCCGGGACGGTAGCAAGCAGCTCATTCAGAAGAACTTTAAGTTCTATCACGCAACTGTTATTCCAGATGTCAACCCGCCCACCGCCGCTACGACCGCTCTGGTCGACATCCACGACTACACCTTCCATCTCCACATGTACGCTCTGGCTGAAGAGCTCGACTACAACGCGCTGAAGTCAGCTGCCCACACTAAGCTCGTCCAGCTCTTCATTAACGTGCGCAACGAAACTCCCTCCGCGATCAAAGACGCCATCAACGCTACCTTTGCCCCGTTGGGTAGCCCATCTCGTATCTGCAAAGACGAAGACGGCGTGTTGCAGCAACTAGTCGTAGCAACCGTCCTCGCGCACGAATTCAAGACCTGGACCGAAGCAGACCAAAAAGCATTCAGCGACGACATCCAAGGTCCTGAGTACGCCGACTTCCGCAACGCCTACAACATGGTCAAGGGCGCGAACCAGGATCTGATCGAGATTGGAGATACTGCTAGGTCATTGGCGGCGGAGCGCAAGGCGGGTATGGAGCGTAGGAGAGCAGCTAAGAAGGCCGGTGCTGGAAACGTGGATCAGAGTAAGCTCATGGTTGGAAGCGGCTCGCCTTTGAGCGTGTTGAGCGCGCGGCCTGCAAATATGAAGGATAAGTTCAAGAGGCGTGTAGAGAAGCGGAGTGTTAGTTCAGTTGCGAAGGTAGATAGAGATGAGGATATAGATATGGAAGTTGACTAGACTGCTTGTCTCGTCGCAAGATGAGCACCCTGGAGTCTACGTTGACTTAACGTCGTCTACTTTGCATGCTTTCATCTTGATGTAGGCTGCAGACCTGTTTGGGGGTTTCTTTGTAGGAGATGCTTTCCCAATTTAACTTGCCGAGATTGAGATAGTACGTAAATTGTAATGAAACGACAGTAAAACCCTACGAGTTTATAATTGGCCAGATGCGTCGTAGTTCTGCTTTTTGTTCGTTGCGCAGGTGTTGGTTATCTAGGCAGGGGGCAAGTGAGAGGTGCAGTTGCTTGGTGAGAGAACCTAAAGCGGAGGCGCTCGCTTCCGACTTCCGCCCGAACGCCTACATCATCTTTTCCCGTCCTTACACATCCCCGCCAACGACGAATAATTCCAACCAGCCAATCACCTCATTTTTGACATTGGTCGAGCATCACTAGCCTTTCATCGGTCGTTCCTATTTTTGCGAAATCAAGCCGCGCTTCGGTGCCGGCTGTCATGGCTTGCAACAGTTGGGAGAAGCTGTGTAAGGCTCAGCGCGACTACCCAAAAGCGAAGTTCGCAGACTCGTTCGTACAAAAATCGCTCAAGAAGACACCCAAGAACCCATTTCTTTTGGTATGCTAGTCGACATCGGAAATTTCATTCTCAGGCTAATTTCGAGCAGGCATGGAAAGCTCGGTTATGTCTTGCATTGAACAATGTGGACACTGATGTAGCAAATTTGGTACAACAGGCCTGGGAGCAGCCAGGGGTGAACGATATTCGGCTGCTGTCCTACTTATATAAGATCTTAGCCGACGCTACGCGGAAAGATCAGGACAATAACCTAAACATCAGCGGAGTGGGCGACGGGAACCTCAAAGTTTGGCAACGTGCTGCGAAAGCCTTGGGACGCAAGGAAGACCGTCAAGATCTCTGGTCTGCTCTAGCGAATGTGGCATTGGCAGAGGAATGCTGGGAAGACTTCCGCCTGGTACGTAAGAAACCGGCATCTGGCCACGACCTGGTTGTATCTCGACACCTTTGGGAATGCGCATCTCCCCGCGCCTTCTCGCTACCACATAAAACTACAACAGGGTGAGATTAGATTTGGTACTAACGCTTGACAGGCTGTCTTTCACTACAGTAAAGAAACCAAGGAGGGCGCTGGATCAACATCTGCAAAAAAGCATGCTCACTTCACGCAAACACTCGCTATTCAACTCGCAGCTGAACAGCAGCGAGGACTTCCCCAGGGCGAGATGAAAAGCAAACTTCAATTCGACCTGGCTCGTAGACTTTTGAAGCAAGCATACGAGGCGGCTCCAGATGACCCAATCGCTTTCAAGGATATACGCGACTTGCGTTTTATGGGCGAGATCTTCGCGCGGCAAGCGAAGTGTAGCGAGCTGTTCGAACACTGGAACCACCCGCCTGCAGCCCTCCAGGACCTTATGACGAAACATCGGGGTGACTTGTGGGGCATGAAGATTAGACTTGCACGGCAGAGTAAAGAATGGTCTCTACTTGAAAGCCAGTGTCTTGCGTACATTGAGCGCGTTATATCACAGCAGGAGAGGTATGTTGGATTAATGACGCCGTCTAGCATCGTAAAGTGGCTGCAGTTTACTTCAGCGACTTCCAACCCAACTTATTGCTGACATTCTTAGCCTTCGAGAGACTTGTGCCTGGAAGAAGGATATCTGGACATCCTTACTAGCCGCCGCGTACGCAACACGCTCCGCTGACGACGCTGTTCGCCTGATCTCCGATATCACAAGTCGTACTTTCAACCCTGAGGAGTTCCAAAGCCAAGACCGCCCCTTGAGACTCGCGTACATGACACTTCGCCAGAATGTCGCTCCAGGAACTCCAATGCTGGCCGACTGTAAGACGTACTGGAAGAACCACGCGAACCTTATCACATGTTACGCAGATATTCGACCATTCCTAGACGGCATGACCTCAAAGGACCGAGGAGAGCTCTGGGAATTTGCGCAAAATCACTACGAAGACGCGGGGAAGTTGTTGGCACAGAATCAGTACCCGGCTCAAGACTGGATTGTTCATTGCGGCAATCGTCTCAAGATGTGTTATCTTTTCTGGATATCACTCTCGACGCCATCTGCTCAAAGGTGGCAAGGGCTCATGGAGGTACCTTTGATCACCGCATTGCGAGCCCCTCAGTTACGGACACCCAGGTCGCCTGAAGGTTTTGTCGCAATATACACACTCCTCTGGATTCACCAAGAAGCTATGCGCAACGAAGAGCCCGATCATCCCTTCGAAAATACGCCAAACTCACGAGTTCTCGTTCAAGCTGCAATGTTAGCGCGCCATTTGGTGGCGAGCGATAAAGAAAAGCAAAACAGACCGCTGGCACTACTTGCTGCACGGCTGCACCTAAACCTCGGTCTAGGAAAATCCGCTTTCCAGTTGTACAGCCACACCAAATGCAAGGAGATGCTAGTGCATACATTGTCACCATATGTTCTGTCACGCATCTCACTGACACATCCATTTGGTGCCAAGGGCTACCAAGGATTCTCAGCCGAAGAGGAACTAGGAAAAGCTGTCGGGACAATGGAGAGGATGGAACGCAAGCTTAATGAGGCAGTATGTTCTGATCTCCAGTCGCTTCCATGGGATCAAGCTATGGAACTCTTGGCCGCGAAACGGGATTTCAAGTCGAGCTTGACAAAGCACATATGCAACACAGAGAGCCGTCGCATAGCACGACTCAAGGGTGAACCGATCGATAACATTCCCGTTATCGACTCAAGTAGTATGTTGCACTCATTTCGAACCTGGAAACTGGCTAATCCATGCAGGCTACCGGAATATCAAGGACGTCGTGGATAGGACCATATTCCCCAACTACGAGCACAGTCAGCATCCTGGATCACTTTCATACATCATGCCCAACGGCCTTCCTGAAGTTCATTGGCTGGCCAAGAGCCTTGATATCTGGGACGCTAGCAGTAGTTTTCTCTATAGAGAGACACAGGTGTTGGAGTTCAAGGGCGAATGGATACACAAAGTTGCCATGCCTCCGGATCATGCCTGGGAGACTGAGCCTGACATGACGCTTGCGGAATACCAAGTTGAGGACACATGGGAGGCAATCAATCTCATCGTTAGGACGATGACCTTGCCAGAGCTTTCCTTCGAGGCGCTTCCTGGGGCGCTGGAAGCACTCCTGTTAGAGGTTTCCACGATGCGACGTGCAATGGAGAAACTGCGTATGCCTGGCGCCACGCACCAAAAACCCGAAGACGAGCCCACCATGTTCCACGAGAATATGCTAATGTCCTGCTATACCAAGTTCGAAGTCCTGCGCGCACTCATCAAGTTGATCGAACACCTACGCGAGAAGGTCATCAATGCGAAGACTCACCGCATGAAGGCCAAGTTGCCAAAGAACTGGGTCAATGATATGGAAACTGAGACGAAGAGTTGTTTCGAGGCGGTACGGGATGTGGCGCATAGCTACATCAATCTCATCGAACAGAGAGGTCATGCTGCGATTAAGGCGCAGGTGCGGTGGGGCAAGACGGGTGAGGCACTGAAGCATGTGCTGAGTGACGACGATGTCGACTTCTACGCAACTGAATATGTTGATAGCGCACTACAGGCATGGAGGGGTGTGCTACAGGTTAAACTGAAGTAGACGGGCATATTACAAATACATCTCGCTTATCATCCCGCATGCCGGCCTCCTCAGGCGAGGTTCTGCGAGGACATTCTAGCTCGATTATCAGACCTCCTCAGACAAGAAAAAAACTGAACAGGTCTGCAGACTACATTGAGACAAAAACTTGCAAAGTAGGTGACCTAACGTCAACGTAGTCCTAGAGACTCTAGGGTGTTCAGTTTTTTCTTAGGTTGGCGTGAGACTAATACTTTCCTGCACTTGCCTCCGAAGAGATTATGGCAATGAATGGCGACTGATACATCTCAGTGAAATGTTAGATATGATTGAACAGTCGGTTTTGCGCCTGAGTTGCGTCGCATTGAGATTGCTGTATTTTACGTTGCTCTTGACTGAATACTGCTGCTTTCCTGCATTTCACAACTAAATGAGGGAGGACACACTGCGCATCCTCGCACCTTCACACTCAATTCTGAGCAGCGACTGTCACTTACAATACTCTTTCCAATCTACGTCAGATTCAGGTGCTAGCGCTGATTGTTTAAAATGCAGCTCACCTCGTGAACTCTCCAGGCTCCCGTGTGCAAACGCAAACGCTGTATCCCCATAACCCAAATCACTCGCGTTCACCTCATTTTTAGCTCTGCCATCGTTACTCTTCCGCTATTCACCGAGGATTGCTTTCGGAGTCTCAATATCACCGCATCACCGCCGACTCGGCTTTTCGTTTTCCTCCACTTCGTTGCACTCTCGCCGCTTGCTTCTGCAGATCCCTCGCTGTCTACACCACGCAAGCTCTCCGCCATGGCCTACCCCACGGGAAAAATCCCCTGGACAAAATCGCTGTCGGGAAACGGTTCTGGCTCTGGCAACCAGTCAGTAGATCACACCGACGACGAGCTAGGTGAACGTACGAACTCCGACTCGGCGGCTTCCTCATCGTCAGCTTACGGTTCTGCCTCTGGCGAACATCCAGATGAGCACTTCATCGGCCCGCTCCCTGAAGGCACAGAACGCCTGACGTCCTCGTTGCCAAGTCACGGTTCTGGCCTCAGCGCTCTACCGTCCTCATCGTCAGATCACCAACCAGATGGACGCAACAAGAACGCGCTTCCTGAACGTACAGACTCACTCGCAGATCCTGGCGGCCCACGGAAAATAGGGACGGACTTATCAAACATGACAGAGGATGAGAGAATGAAATGGGCTTGGGAACTTTCCGACCCCAATCGCAAACCCAAATCCAAACCTGTCAGGCCCGACCCCAACAGCCACTACGTTTCTGCCGAGGGTAAAGTAGCCGCCTCGAATAGCTCTCAGGATATCTTGCTAACTTATTACTAGTATGTAGCTCCCTTGCTATGCTTTGCCAACGCGGTACTGAGGAATCTTTCTATTCGTGCTAACAGCTTGACAGACGTTTCAAACAGCGATGTACGATCTCACAAAAGATATAAACCTGAGACCCAAGGGGCACTCGAGCGGCAAGTGGCGCTGTTGCAAGTGTAACCGTCTCCACAAGGTCTACACTCAACCACACATCCATCCACTCCACGTTCTGAGCTGCGAATGTACCCACCGATCTTGTGCTAAGTGCAAACTGGAGGAACATCCTGCCAACTATCCTGCACCGCCAACCCGGCAACAACGGTCTCCTCGGGTTCTGGTCAAACAGTTCCAACCGATGAACGACCCGGAGGTGATCCATTTGTCTGAGGACAGCGCCAGGGCTATACGATTTGGCGTCGTCTGCGAAGGCTGTGGTCGATCGTGGCGCGCACGGAGAGTCCCAGTCGAGTTCAAGAAGACACCGAAGAAGTCGCTCCTAGAACGTCTACCTACGCTACCCAAGTTCCCAAAAAAGCGCGGTGGTGGTGCACCCACTTTGAAGGACCTGCGATCTAGTCGATCGATGAGCAACCTCCACGATCCTACTGAGTCACGTTTTCAGGCTGCGCCGCCGGCCGCTTCCAGGTCCAGCTTCGACCTCCAAGCCCTTTCGAAAACGATGAAGAAGAAGCATGGGGTACAAGCTGAGCCGGTTCCTGTCAAGTTCGTGGGCATCAAGTGTCTCTGTACTATGACTACTGCAGACACTTCACTCTGTTTCCAGATCATGGATAAGCCGGAGGACCACAACCAGACCCAGTTGGCGAATCAGGTGGCCGCACGCAAGCCGGCTGGCTTTGGCAGCACACCGGCAGACACTGCGAGAGGTCATGGTACCCCGACCTTGACGTTGAGGGGAAAGAAGCACGAAAACCCGCTCATGAGCAACCTTGTCGTCTAGAAGAACGAGGGCAAGAAATTCCTCCATGATCTCCTGCCAAAACGTCGGAGGTGAGACCGGTCAGAGTGAGACCTTGGATGGGGAGACAACGTTGGTGAGATTGGTGCATTAGGCCGAGATTTGAGGCCGCAGGAACCAGGTTTTGTGTAAAGCTACCCATGTTCCATCTTTCTTTCACGTTATAGAAAGATAAAACTGAACAGGTGCTCTACTGTCTACATTAGTATGAAAGTTGAAGTTTACACATTCCCTACAGCAATGTAGACTTCTGGCAGGTAGGTGTTTAATTTTTTCTGTGTACAAGGTGCTTTCTTGGATGTTTCGGTCAGGAACTGGAGATGCACTATGAAAGTGATCGGCGATTGGCATGTTCATTTCTTTCTTGTTTGCGTGATTAACAATGCGTCGCTGGAAATCGTAGGCAGACGTGGTTTGACTGTTCATATAGGCTTTTGAGCCTATGAATCGTTGTCAGTCAGCATTCCGTACGCTAGGCGATAATTAGGCCCTTTTCGACTCCATGATTGATTCTGATGTGATGTGGCACCTGTGACTGCATCGCCACACCGGGTTCCTCTTATGACCAGGGCTTCTCTTAACGCGGGCGTCAAGGCGTGATCCACATTCTTTATGTGGGGAAGGTAATACTCGGTGCTAGTGTGATTAACGTGCTCCAGCCTCTTCGCGCCCTTATGTGAGCTTCAGCCTTAGCTATGACTACCATCTACTCATCGCGATAACTCTGCCGGCCAAGTCCGTGACCTCGTACACCAATTCCAACATCACCAGATCACTTACTCAATAGACTAGTGTGTAGCTGTGTGATTAACACGATTGCTTCGCGTGGTCCGGGCAACTGCCTTGAATGGCAGCCTTAGACAGCCTTGCCGCAGACGCCACGGGTACCTAGGTACAATGAGAATGAACAAGACACCAGCAGCACTGCCCCGATACCGACCCAATGTATGAGCAATATCCTAGACTGAAGAAGTCGGTGTGTGAAGAATCGCGCGCGTGCAGTGTATGGCATGAATTACCGCCATGCGAACTGTCAGCCGCCGCCCTGTTGGGGTCTGCGCCTCAACCTTGTGGATCCCAGGCGCCAAACATCCAGGCAGCTTCAATGAAGCGCAAATAAAGAGGACAAAGCGATGCGCATTGCGAAATATCTGCCCCATCATTCCAGTCACAGTTTCGTATCACAAACAACATCTGAGTCGATTGCGTTGCCAACAGCATCCGTGTGCGATTCCGTTTGCATCGTTCCACGACTGCCCCGAGACCCCAGACAAACCGGACTCAAGGGTCCAAGCTATGTCATTGGCCCGGTATGACTAGACCCCACCAAGAAGCATAAGAACCACGGAACTGACTTGCATTTCCAGCTTCCACACTTTCCATCAGCCTTCTTCATACACCCCTACAGCCCGAGCAGCTACTTTCCCTACCAGTTCCGGAGTTTTCACCGCCAAAAACCGACTGCAGCAGTTGACAAGCCATTTAACGAAGAGCTCAATCATGTCCAATATGACCGAGAAGTCCCAAGATAAAAACAAGACTATCAGCAGCGAGTCGACTAAGGAAAACAAGCCTGAACTATCGTTTACGGGAAAAGAAAAGATTGGGGATGCCCAACTTCCAAAGTTGCCATCACCGCCGCCAGTACGACACAAAGATTTTAAGCACTCTACCCCTAAGTACTCGATTACTATAGGTGGAAATGCCGTGGATCCGCCTCCATACCAAAGATTCAACGTCTTTACCGCTGGTAGTATAGAGATGGGTAAAGCGGTCAAGTGGCAGTCGCTCATGGCACAGCTACTTTCGGACCTACCCATCACCGTGTGCGATCCACGACGACCGGACCGTGATTGGGACCCAGCCATGGCTCGCGTTAAAGATAATAATGGACTTACAGGAATGCGAGCACAAATCGATTGGGAACTGGACGCGCAAGAAGAAGCAGACGTCATCTGCTTCTTCTTCGATGTCGACACCAACAGCCCAGTCTCTCTGCTCGAGTTGGGTCTGTTCGCTAAATCCAAAAAGGTGGTGGTTTGCTGTGACGCACGGTACCATAAATGGGACAACGTTCAGATAACGTGTGAGAGATATGGGATCCCGCATGTCGACACATTTGCGAAATTGGAGCTAGAGGTCAGAAGTATGCTGAAGAAGCAGGGCATGGTACTTGACGACAACGGCGACTTGATCGGACCGAATGTTCATAAGCCCAAGCGGAAGACGCATTAGAAGGCGGAAGCCGCAGCTTGAGGCGGACAAGGCTGCGTTGCAGAAGCAGGTCGATGAGCTCAAGGCGATGCTGCCGACACAGTCGGAGATGTGATTAAGGTGAGCTGCATGGGCTCTGCTTTGACTGGCGTTGGTGGAGTTTCTGTCTTTTCAATAATAACCAGCGTGGGGGGGATGTCTCAATTACTGGTACAGCCTTGCTTTGGCTGTATCACATGTCTCTCATTTATACATGTCTCTATACCCAGACTTTCTTACCCAATGGCTTTTTTACCTTATCAGAATAGATGAATAAACTGATGCCCCCTCCGGCTCAGGTCAAACTCTCCGCTTCACTGGGTTGATGATTTCCCTCTATCTGCCATTCCTAACAGACATATCACATCGTGGCATCTATGTGGTGCTGGGCTTTTCGTGATATGTGCTCGTCGAAGCACCGTAATCATGTGTCTAGATGGACTACCGCCTTGCTGACCGCATGTATGTCTCTTCGAGCAGGCTCGAAAGGAAGACATAGACCACATCTCATCCTTCCTCCGTCCCAAGTCTCTTCTCGGTTCGGAACATGCCATGTTCCAGCGAATATGCCCTGACAATCTTTCCTACTACCTTTCCCAAAATGAGCAGCAGCGTTGCATGCACGCCGCATCTACTTCGGATGTCTACAAGAAGGAATCGGTGCGAGCCATGTAGGTCATGGTTGTCAGATGCGTCGAATGATAAGACTAGGCGTGGCAGACCTTCCCTGTGACCTAGGCAGTCGAGTACCCACCGTACGCAACCACCTCGTAGCCCTGCAGCCTTGAAGACAGTATCGATGTTACAGAGGCGGACAATCGATATGTAGTCCGCTGTCTCGAGGTCATCGCCGAAACCATCGTGATACACGCTCTCTGCTGCCCCCGTTCTCCAAATCAAGGGAAATGGCGCGCCGTTCCTGCTCGAACATTACTTCCATCCCATCACCCAACCTCAACCTCAAACCCAACTCTAACCCACAAACTACACCCCGAACACCCAACCAAGACCTCCTTCTCACCCCTCTCCTCCGCATCCTCCAACTCTTCTTCTAAAATGCTAAACCCCCTATCTGCACCACACCGACACGCACGCGTCCACGTCGTCTGCCCTTCTGCCCCTTCTCCTCCTTGGGCACCCATAGAAGCAGACGTATCCACACCATCCCCCTCCCACATCTCAAAATCCGCCAAATCAAGTAATTCAAGCCCCAGCACAAAATCACTCGACAACTGTATCTCGCCCCTCGCACCCTCCTTGCCCGTCGTCGTCGTGATCAGCCCATCGCCATGGCGCAGGAACCAACTATCGTATTCGGATTTTGAGGTTGCGTTTGCGAGGGTCGTGTAGGCTTCTTTGACGTCGTCGACTGTGTATGCGGGTTTCGTCTTCGTCTGCGTTGCGTTCGTTGTCGTGGTCGTGGCAGCGACGGCGCTCGCTTTATCTGGGTGCGCGGCTAGCAGGGCGAGTTTGTACGCTCGGCGGAGCTCTGCTGCGCTGGTTTGCTGTTTTGAGGTCCAGCCTGGCGCGGGCAGCTGCAGGATGTGGTAGTAGTCTTTGGTGTAGGCCATGGTTTTTTGGCTTTGCGCGGGCGGTCGTGGTTTATATGGGTCGTGCGGAGGACAAAATTAGGGCTCTAGGGAACAGAATGTGTTTTTTGAATTATGAGCGCCGCTCGCCCTTAAGGGCTGGTTCGGAACTTTTGCCATACGCGACGCGACATGAGAAACGGAAAAGTTGGGCGGGGAGGTCGCTCGGCTCCAAGTGGTGGGGCGGTTCATCCCACGGGGTCTGGCACATGGAAAAGGACCGATCAGAGTCCAGATCAGCGACATATATGCACGTTGCAGTGAGTCAGAATGGACGCGCCTCAAGGTTTAAGTCATATCACAGCATAAGAGTGCAAGATTGAAGTAGCGATTCCTTTGGCTAGCTAAGAGTGCAGTATGATGACATGAAGCCCTCCAGAGCTTTGCGTACTGCTCTACCGGCCATCGAAACTGATGTCCTGACTCCCAGAATCACCAAGAGGATGTCAAACATCTCTGTCGGCATAGGATCGAGGTGTTTATGTGCTGCCAAAACGAAAACATGGGGGAATTGAGGGTAGCATCCGACGTACCGAACGCAGCCCTATCTCGCCGGTAGCAGCCCAAGACTCTCATGAGGAAGAGCTCAGAAGTACTAGAGTCGTGTGCGGAACGCGACCCCAACACACTGCGTGCTCGATGGGACAGCGCCGGCAATAGGAGAGTAAAGGGAAATACATTCAGTCATGGGGAATTCGACCGTACCGAACCGCTTGCTGCCAAAGCCAATTTTTGAAATCACACAGAACACGTACAACTCCGTAGGACACTCGCTGCCGGCCTCCTTCGTCTATTCGAGAACAGATGACGACGGCTGAGGATACACAAGGTCGAGAGAGGGAGAGTGTGCTTAAGCGGCGGGGGCAGGGGCGGCAGCAGGAGGCTGCTCCTCGGCCTTGGGCTCGGATGCAGCGGGTGCGTCCTCAGTGGTCTTGGCCTCCTCCTTGGGTGCGTCGGTGGTGGCGGCGGCCTCGCCCTCGTTACCATCTGATGACGTCCAGAGAGTGAGGTTGTCACGGAGGAGCTGCATGATGAGCGTGCTGTCGCGGTAGGACTCCTCGGACAGAGAGTCGAGCTCAGCGATGGCGTCGTCGAAGGCCTGCTTGGCAAGGTGGCAAGCACGGTCCGGTGAGTTCAAGATCTCGTAGTAGAAGACCGAGAAGTTCAGCGCAAGGCCGAGACGGATGGGGTGGGTGGGTGTGAGCTCAGTCTGGGCGACATCGGTGGCCGTCTGTGTTGCGGGATTAGATGGTTTCATGTTGCTGGATAGCCATTGCGTCATACCTTGTAAGCCTCGTGTGCAGCGGTCGCAGCGACCTTGCGCTTCTCACCGGAAGCGAATTCGGCAAGGTAGCGGTGGTAGTCGCCCTTCCTGTGCCGGTGTCAGCCCTGTTTGCAATGAAAACAGCGGAGAAAGCGGTGTAGACGCACATCTTGTGGTAGAAGACCTTGGACTCGCCAGACTCGGCCTTGGGGATGAGGGAGTCGTCGAGGACGTTGAGGACATCCTGGCAGACCTGCTCAAGCTCGGTCTCGATCTTCTGGCGGTAGTCGCGGATGGTGCCGACGTGCTTCTCAGAGCCCTTGGACTCCTCCTTCTGCTCGATGGACGAAATGATGCGCCACGACGCGCGTCGGGTGCCGACAACGTTCTTGTAGGCGACAGACAGAAGGTTGCGCTCGTCAACGGTGAGCTCACCGGCGACCTATGCTGCGTTAGCCGGGCGCTGATGGGAGCCTGCGCTGTGGCGGGCGCCTGCTCGTTTAGGAGCGGATGCGGTCGGGCATACCTTGGCGACTTCCTGCGAAACAATCAGCATGTGAGTTGGGGTGAGCAGCGACGGGCGAGCAAACTGACCTTCATGTAGGTAACCATCTCTGCACGACTGTTAGCTTGCGCGGCCAGCGGAGGGAGCGCGCGGAGACTTACCATCGTAACGCTCAGCCTGTTCGCACAGCCGGGCGAGGAAAGTCTTGCTATTGCGACGTCAATTACTGGCGGGCGCTGTCTCGGGCAGCTGTCTCGTACCTCTCACGCTGCGGACGGTTAGCCTGCGTTGCTTGCTTGGGGATTATCGGGGCTCAGAGGGGCATCCCGCCGGGGACAGTAGCGGGGGGATGGGGCAGAATCAGCACGACGTACCTCAGTCGCCATTGTGATGGTTGAGTTGGGGGGGTTTGTGGTAGTCGGGGGACTGTGGGGGGTGGTGCAGGTGCGTATGGAAGGATAGACGGTGGGCGGAGTTGTTGAGGTGTTTGTGTGGATCAACGGGCAGAAGAGGATCGAAGTTGTTTTGAGGAAGCGAGCGTCTGCCCTAAGAACGACCCGTGCACAGACGCTGAGCGAACAACACCACCTCGACTGCGCCTTCCCCCAATTGGCGCCTGCGCTGCCCTTCACATGATCTGCTGCCCCGTTTGCGCGCTGGCACACACCCTCTGCCATCTCCAAACCCTCAGTCTGCTCGCGCCCTATCGCCCTGCTGTTGCGCCGCCATGTACGCCTATCTTGGTGCAAGCTGGCAATGAGGGGTACATGGGCACGTGAGCAGCTCCAGGGTCTGTCCTTTCACCGGCCCCTTCAGGCTCCAGGACTACCAGGCGCCGGGCCTGGTTCGCGACACGTGCTATGGCACCGTCCTGCCCTCATCTTACGCCAGACGGCCTGTAACGTCGTCGAGCTGCCGTCGAGCCGTCACACCAGTCGGGCTCTGAAGCGCGGCCGCCAGCAAGAGGCTGATTCCTAGACTGCCGTCCCATGTCCAGGTGGGGGCCAATCAGTGCCGCTTGGAAACAGCTAGAAAACCTGGCCGCAAGCTGTTGCGCTGCGACGTCTCTGCGCCATGATTCGTGTGACGTTGCGGTGAAGTACCACGACCACGGCCAAATGCCAGAGCGTTAGCCTCCCGTGTCACATGTGGCTGATCTGAGGCGCCAGGCCGGCTAGGCGACCTGGCGTCTGTATCCACATGGCCTCATAGGCGGGCTGCAGCCCTCTCAATATCAGCGCGCAGCTCGTGAATTTGCCTGAATACCAAGGCAGCCGTTTGTATTCAGTGCTCGACACGGACAACGTTGTTCCCGCGTGCTTGCATATGCACGCCACACTATCTTATCTAAAACCAACCATTGCCGTCTCGGCACCATCTCGTCGTGCACGGAGCTCTTGATCCGTTGCAGCCGTAAACTGCATTGACAGGCACTGTTGCACATGTATGGTGCGGCGCAGAAACATGGCCGTGTGCACTTGCGCTCTGTGGCTTCTGAGGCTGTCCGCGTCTGACCCAAAATGTTTTCATACAAGCAGTCACATCGTGCCTCACATTAACAACCGCCAGACACCCAACATCAACGCCGCCGTACCCGTACACACACCCATGAGCCACTGCAGCGTCGAGAACTTGACCGCCTCGAGCCTCTCCCGCAGCTGCGCCGTCTCCTGCTCGATCCTCGTCTCCGTCTCCTTCAGCTTGAGTTCCTGCACGTTTGCCTCCTCCCTTATGCGTCCCTTCTCCAGGTTCAAGTCTAGCCGTACTGACGCCTGTGTCCGTTGTATCTCGTCCCGTAAGCGCGAGTTCAGCTTTGCGAGCTCGTTTGTGAGGCGCTCGTGCGATGCGCGCGTCAGACTCGATTCAGTCGAGTCGGCCGTCATGAGTTCGGAGCGGAGTTTGGCAAAGTCGACTTTCTGCGTGTAGGTGGCTTTCTCCTGGTCTTCGCGAAGGACCATGGTGCGCGTAAGGTTTTGTATGCTGTATATGTCAATTGCAGATCTTGAGTAGTCGTGTCTAAACTGACCTCTCCTCAATTACATCGCTGAGGACCCTCATCATGCCCTCGGCTTGCTCTTCTGTGAACCCCTCCTCCTTCAGTCGCTGCACAAACTTGAGCGTGTCGAAGTGATGGTCCTTGGATTGCCGTGCAGTCGCGCTGAAGTTGCGCCGTAGCTCCAGGGCAGACGCATAGCCGCTTGCATATCGTGGTGATGTTTTTGGCCACTGGATTGTTGTTCGTGACAATGGCTTCGGAAAGGCAGCGCGACGTTCGGAAGCTACACTGCATCTATGCCGACTTTGTTCCAGTGCGCCCAGCGCAGCCGGCCGTGACACCCGCGCGGGCCATGATAGTTGCGGCAGGAGAAATCGCGGTATCGCCGTCGCCTGTATCGCAGGAACTGTCATTGCGTGGGTGGTGTAGTTTCTGTCCTGTCTCGCCGTCGAGAATTCAATGGCCGCGGGTAGCCAAGCCCTGCACATGTCATTGCCGAATTCGGCAAACCATTCCACCTCCCAGCGCCGCAGAGCTGTCAGCGGAGGGGAACGTTTCAATTATATCATCACAGGGGCTCGATCGATCTTGAAATCATGCGTGGAAAGGCCTTTATTGTTGCTTGATATCATACTGAAAGAATTCGCCCAAACATACATCCCAGAAAGCATATACAACGCTTGCTATGCATTTCGCCTTTGGAACAGAAGAAAACAAAAATGTCGGCCGTCCGTCTATCTACCATACTCCAGGCTGGGGACGATGACAGGCCCGTACTTCATCGGCGCACTGTATCCGCCATCATTCTGCACCATGAAATCAACCGCCAAACTCAACTTGCCACTGCCATGTCCAGGGACAGCCTGACCAAACGTCCCGTTGACGATCTCCGGATCGTAGATGACACAAGCGACGTAGTTTCGTCGACCCATCAGCCTCTTGTGTTCGCGAGGTTGTCCGTTCACGTCTTGCGTGAAAATCTCCATCATGTCTTCCTTCGTGTCGCTGGGTTGGTTATTGCTGCGGTGTCCGTTCTGTGGTACGTAGAGAGCACGGTTGTTGTGAAGGAGTCGCAGCACATAGCTTCCAGGCGGCCCATTTACCACTGACGATGAGATGATCTGGTACATTGTCTTGTGATCTTGGGGTCTCGATGGGTCATGGACGAGGCCAGCGCCGCAGCAGTCGACCGCACCAGAGAAGAACGTCATTCGTAGCGACTTATTGTGTGCGATGCCTTGGAGTGTTCGTATCAAGTAGGTTCGTTCGAGATCCTTCAATATGTTAGCAGATACTTTGACGGTAGATGGGCATCACCAACCTTTGAATCGTGCGTCCATTGGTCTCTCAGCTCATCAAGCAAATCGATCTCGCCAAAGGGACTCAGAACTCCGCTCATCAGACCTGACTTGCCAATAGCTTTCTTGACAGAGTTGAAGCCATCGCCGACCACACTCTTAGCACCGACGACACCAGCGACTCCAGCTGTCACCTTTCCAAGCATGTTGAATGTACCCGTGACAGCCTTCTTGCCAGTAGCCATGGAGTGAGCAAGATGCTCAACTGACTCCAGGCGAGGGTACACAATGGGAACAGGAACCATCCAAATGCAGTGCTGAACGCTCGGCGGTAAAGTCGCAACCTTCGGGAAGATACCTTGATATGTCGGTCCTGCCATCACCTGATGCGGGTTGCGCTCAGAACGACAATCGGGGCCAACAACTGTAACGCATGGACCCAGATACTTGATGAAGTGCCAGCCTGTGCCCGTTATAGTGAAAAGGTCCATGTCGTTGTTGACGTTTCGGAGAATTTCTAATGTTGTGTGGTGCTGGAAGAGCAAGTACATCTCAATGCCCAGTCTTCCAATGTTTTTGAACATGTTCGAGAACTGCATGTATTCAGGGTATGATCCGAAACCATCAAATCTGGGTAATGTTAGGGTTGCTTGCTGTTTCACACACGGATTGAACTTACATGTCATGGTCATCGAGAGCAAGAATGTGAGGTATCTGTGCAAATGCCTCTCGCAAGTGTGGCTGGTCGAAGTGACTTGTGTAGTAGTGGAAGTATGCATGACACACATCTTCTTCATGCTTTGCAGTCCATGGCGCGTTCTTTCGGGCCTCTTTACCACTTGTCGCGGTCCATTGCTTGAGCAAAGGAAGTTCTTTCCATAGCCGGTCGGCGTAGATTTGGCCACCCAAACCAAGTTGTACGTGGAAACCGCCACACTCGGCATTCTTCTGTAGGATATCCTTCCACATCAGGCCTACACCACCAAGCCTCGCTCTCTCATTTGCGTTGACGTTCAGCGCGAAGTCATTGCCAGAGTGAGCAATAAACCGCCAGCTGGTCTCGTTTCGGCCTGCGACCAGAAACTCGAAGCGAGTGCAGCCCAGGTGCGAGGTGATCGCGTAAGTCCATTTTGCAGCGTGCTCATCTTCCATTCTCAGATCAATGTCGTATCGGTAAAAGATCCACGTCTGATGTGTATAGATGGGATTGGCCTTCAGTTGTCGCGGATTTGGTGACAGATCTGCACTCTGATGGATGTGAATAGTCGGCGGATGAGGGGTGTTTGTGATGAGCAGTATCGAACCTAGCCACAGACCTCGTTCAATGTCCATGTTAGTGTATCTGAGATACGGTCCAAAGTACACGCCGTTGGTCGGAGCAACCTTGTATTGGTCTACACCAGCAACTGGAGGCGGTCCAGTGAAGCCGGTAGTAGTTGGTGTCGCAAGCGGCGCCATGCCAAAGTCTCCGGGAAAAGTGGCCGTCTGTGGAGCAAAGCCAGGCGATGCGATGGGGGCTTTGCCAAACGACGGGGACGCCAGTGGGCCGCCAACAAATGTACCGGTAGGAGACATGGGCTCATTCAGGTTCAGAGGTGTCGGACCCTTGGGGAACTCCCACTGCGTAGACTGGGTTGGAAGATGGATGTAGTAATACTGGCCAGAACTAGGGTCCAGATGTGCTATCCAGCCTTCAGGAAGCGGTGGAGGAGAGGCCGGCCCGGGTCCTGGAGCTGGACTTGGTGTGTGTGCGGGTTGGGTGGTTTGTATTTGAGGAGGGAACTGGTTCTGCGTCGGCGTTGGTGCGATGACCGCCGCAGGTTGTGATGGTCCAGCTTGTGGACGCGGGTCATTTGCGAATGCCGGATGGCCTTGGTTAGGGTCTGAGAAACCAGCTCCTTGGGCAGCTGGCTGCTGTCCCTTTTCGTTGGGATAGCTGTGGGCTTGGCCTGTTGGCGGGGTTGTTATACTCGAGTACGCTGGTGGGGGTTCTTCATTCAAGTTCATCCGTCCCATCTCGTGGTTCAACGGGTGTTCTGGAGGTACGTTCACGTTGGTAGGAGGCGGCGAAAAGCGAGTGTTTGGTGCCTGCGGAAGAGGGCCCTGTGGGGGAGTGCTCGAAGGAGGCACTTGATCCATGCCCTGGTACACGGCCGGTGGACCATGTGGATTGCCTCCAGGCTGCTCGGTCGGCGTCCATGGTCTCCTCGCCGGCTGTTGGCTCGGCTGTGGTGTTGAGAGACCCGGCCTGGGCTGCTGATTGGCATATATCTGGTTGCGCTGAGCAGCTGCCGCATTCTGCGCACTCTGCGCTTGGAGGTTGGTGAGTGTAGAGGTGCCTGCAATGCCAGCTGCGGCAAAGCGCGCTTCTATGCCACCGCCAGAGGGAGGTATGATGGGCGTCTCCGGGGGCGGAGGTGAGCCTCTCTGTGCCCTCACTGTTGACGTCGATGCGGTGGAGCTCATGCGGTTGACGTCCATGGGCGTAGGCACCTTGAGTACCGGCTCATTCTGGTTGGGACCTGTGTATACGACTGGCGCAGCGGGCGCAGCCGGGGCCGCACTGGAGCCAGCAGCGGGCGGGGGAAAGTACTGCTGGTGGTACTCGGGGTATGGGTTGCTGGCGCCCACGTCTTCGCTGCCCTTCCTCTGCGGTGCCTTCTGGAACAAGCCCTCCTTGTCGGGCGCCTCGGGGCCTGGCGAGTCTGGGAGCGGCTTCGGGGCTGTCCCTCTGCGCTCGGCCAGCCTCGAGGGCTGGATGGAGCCGTCTGGATTCCGCGCGCCATAGCCGCTTATCGTGGGTCGGTTTGGGTCGTTGGCGTCGAAGCGGGCGCGCTGGCTGGGCGAGGTGGGACTCGGTCCTGTCGCATTGGAGCCTCGCCGCGGTCCGTCTGCGCCGTCAGGGGGTGTGGCTGTTCGCACGCGGCGCTCCCTCTCGCTGAGCGGAGTGTATCTGCCTGTGCTGAGCGTGGGCGGGCGGTCGCTGTCGGGGTAGGGCAGAGGGGCGTTGGGCGGGCTGGTGGGCGGCGCGGGGAACGAGGGCATGGGAGGAGGGCGCGAGAAGGCGGGCTGGCTCGAGCTGCCCGCCGAGTCTGTTCGCGGCGGCGGGCTCTTACCATCGCGCCCTTTCTGTATCCTCAGGGGCCCGACGGTGGGAATGATGGGCGTGTCTGGGTTGCTGTTGTTGTCGTATCGCAGGAACAGCTCCTCGTCCGGGCGGCCCTGCTTCCGGCCGTCCATGGTGGGCGAGTGCAGGATATGCGCTGCGGTGTCGTTGCAGCAGCGGTGCCTGGATCGCCGGCGATGGCAGGCGGCGACTTATTTTTGGCTACGGGTGCGGATAGCTCGACGTGCGCAGGGCAACACGGTGGTGTGGATGGCTGCGCGGGGTGGGGTAGTCGCTCGAGGCTCGATATGACGCTGCCGGGCGACGGGGTGCATCAACTGTACATGAACATGCCACGCGCTGGGCCCTCAGGTTTTATGCGGGAATCGAGCGAGCACGGCGGTCTCTACGCGATGCTGCTGACTTACGTAGCCTTTCTAACATGGCCCTCCAAGAGTTGGGCTGCAGCGGGTCTCGCCATACTGACCTCCTGGGCTGAGGAGGCCCTCTGACATGTGATTGGACTGCTCGACTTTACGCGCTGCGACCGAATTTGCGGCCGCTCCTGATCACACTTGGCGGCGCATACGAGCAGCATACTGTGCCTGGTGTGGCACACACTACCATCTGCTTCCAGCAAATCAAATCACCCACCCCCGAAGCCATCTGTGGCTGGTAACAACCACGATCCTCGACGCAAGGCGGGCCGCGCAGTGCAGCGGGCCGACTACTCTGTGAGCATCCGCGAGCTTCGGCTTGTCAACACCAACGCGGCAAATCGGCTTCAACATCCCAGTCATTAGTGCCTGTCGTGCAAGCGACTATCAAGAAATATCAAAGACGAATACGAAAAAGAAGGTAAGCATGCTGTCAACATCGACACAAGGGACCAGCGACCACGCAGCTATAATAATGTACTGTATTTGGGATGATAAGAATACGAAACAACTACGAGATCTATCAAACTTTTAACCAAGGGATTACCTCCATCCGCGCTTCTTCCGTCTCGCTATTACACGCAAAAAATCTTTCTATACCGCACAACACTCCACTAGAATATTTACATATCCATAAGAGCCGCAGCACCAGACTCGCTGCACACGTAGACGACCTCGTGGCTGTCGCTAAAGCCATTGAAGCGAGTGGCAGAGCACTTGGTGTACGCGCCCATCTCCTCAAAGTAGAGCCAGTCACCCACGTCGAGTAGCTCGGGGAAGGTGCACGACGACGAGATGACGTCGATACCATCGCATGTCGGACCCCAGATGGAGTACTCGACTTGAGACGGCGTGTCGTAGCCAGAGCGACGGACGTCGTACAGAACATCGTTGCCGTTCTTCAGTACACGCGGCACGGGGTGCTGGTGATCGAAGATGATGCTCGAGAAGTTGCCGTAGACACCGTCGTTGAGGTACAGCATGTACGACGTGGTGCCGAGAGTAGCATCGGCAACGGTACGGCGAGCGATGACATGGCACGCAATGGTGAACGCTGTGGAGACATAGTAGCGTCCCGGTTCCCCAATGACGCGGATGTGGGGCGGGAAGTACTCGTCCAAGGCAGTAGACAGCACTGCGGCCATGGGCTCGAAGGTAGCATCGCCCGTAAAGCCGCCGCCGACGTCAAGGGTGTGCATGTTGAAGCCAAGTGCAGCCGCCTGGTCAAAGACGAAGCGGGCATCCTGCACAGCCTTGATGAAGGCCTTGGGGTCGGATGCGCCGGAGCCAACGTGGAACGCGACTCCAACGACGTTGAGCTCCAGCTTCTTCGCCAGCTCCAAGAGCTCTGCAGTCGTGTCCAAGGCGGCACCGAACTTCTGGCTGAGACGGCACAAGCTGGCCGAGTCATCAGTCAAGATGCGCAGGTACAGCTCGGCGTCCGGGAAGAGCTGCTTGGTCTTGTAGAGCTCGTCGGCATTGTCGAATGTCATCTGCTTGACGCCAGACTGAGCGGCGTAGCGCACGTAAGACTTGGTCTTGCAGGGCTGCGCGTAGATAATGCGAGACGGGTCGACGCCCAACTTGAGCACAGTCTCAATCTCGTTCTTGGAGGCACAGTCGAAGCCGAGACCCAGTGCGGTCATGAGACGCAGCACTTGGGGGTCAGGATTGCACTTGACGGCTGCGGCATGTTAGTGGCGAGTCTGCGTGGTGTGGGGTGCAGTGACTTACCATAGTGCGGCTTGACGCGGCCTAGGTTCTTCTTCCAGCGCAAATGCTGGCGGTAGACCTCGCCCAGGTCGGCGACGAAGAAGGCCTCCTCCTCGCCGACGCTGCAGGTATCAGGATCAATAGCCTCGACGCGGCTCTTGAGAGCGTGCGCAATCAACTGCTTGGATTTCCAGGCGCCATGATTGTCCACACTACCAGCGGAATAGTTGTTGAGTGACTGGATGTCTTTCAACGGGAATTGGTATTCTTCGGTAGTCGTGATAGCAGAAGGTGCCATGCCCTTGACGATGGGTCTGGATAGAGGGTTGGTTAATTAGGGTATTCGCCGGTCGTGGTGCCGCGTTAAGGTGGCTTGAAGGGTGCGAAGCCGAGGCTAGGTGTTGGGCGAGGTCTGGCCGCTTCCTCTGCGAGAGGAAGAACCGCTGATGGCGTCCTATGCGGCAGCTGAAGTTCGGGCTGCTCGAGTGTCTGGGTAGGAGACAAAAAGAAAAGGCGCTCGAGTTCGGTCTTAGATGGCGACAAGACGCGGAGGGGGGATGTTGTTGAAGACGTGAGGTGCTGGGCGCGCAGAGACAACTTGGGCGTTGAGCAGGAGCAGGGCCGAAGCCGTAGTGGGACGGGAGCCTTTGACGCGACCAAAGGCTGTCGGAAGAAGTGGCTGAGCTGCAGTGAAGGCGCAGACGGACGCTTTATAGGGCGCGGTGTCTGGCGGGCGGTGAATATGGGGAGCGGGTGAGGTGTAGGAGAAAGGGAGGCGATGGCGGGGAGCTGGAGTGACAATTTTCGCGCATTCGGTTGTGGTGCTGGAGTCTTGGACCGAACATTACTTAACATCCCTGCGCCGTCCAGGACCTGCAGCCACTAGCATTTCATTCTGACATCACCGGGGCTCGTGCACGGACGCCGACGGTGCCTGATCGGCTCGATGGCACGCATGCGAGGCTGAGCCACCGCTGGAGCTCGAAATCGCGCATGTCAGGTATGCCCGACGCGGCTTTTGGGCAACCGTCGCGCGCTCAACGTGCCAAGGTCATTAAACGCGCATGGTACTTCTACCAACAGGGCACAGCAATTGCGGTGAGTGCAGTGATATTTATTCTCTGATTGGGTGGAGCCGTAGCTATATGCCGGCTCATGCAGTATATACTCAAAACAGGAACAACGCCATACCCTTCCCTACCTAGATGCCGCTGTGTGAATGCAAAAGGCGCAACATGTGAATGCTACTTGATTATGGTAAATAGTAACCCTGCAAGCCAAAACCTACTCCCTTCTCACGCGCGCTGCATCACGATTGGTACCGGATCATAATGGGTACGTCGGACAGGTCCACGCCGTACTGGTGCTGGAAGGCCAGCGACTTCAGCGAGGCGTTGCTGTGGTGCGATCGCGTGCCGGCGCTGCCTCCGATGCCCGCGCCATGTTCGTAGTTGTAGTCCAAACCCCCACTAAAGCGATCCCACCTAGAGATGTTGTTGGAACCCTTGACTTCTTTGCGGGGAGTCAATTCGAGGGGACTTTCGCATGGGCTTTCGACTGGACTCGCATTGTTGGACGCGTCGTTTGGATCCGAGTACAGGTCCAGGTTGACATCCGAGTACAGGCGGTCTCCCAGCGTCCTACGGCGCTGATGCCAGACCTGGGACTGCCTTGGCGAGATCACACCTTGAGGAGGCTGTTGCGGAGGCGCGCCATATCTGATCACCGGAGGAGACCCTCTCGGACTGCGAGGCCTGGGGCTGGGAGCAGCTCTGGGTCCCTGAGGCTTCCCAGACTGTGGGACGATAAGCCTGGCCGTGTTGATGGATGGCACAGGTGGGACATCGATGCTCTGTGGGCGAAGTTTCGACGCCGTAGCCTCACCAGTTGCTTTCTTCAGGTTGTGAAGGCTTTTCCGGCGCTGTTGAGCGGGCATGTCACGTCGAGTAACGGATAGGTCCCTGCTGTGTAGGCGCGCAAACTCTGCAGCAGATTTGCTGTCCATGGTCACCATCGACTTCGACCTAGGCAAAGAAGCGCCTAGTTGGTGTGGGTGGGTTGGAGAAACAACACGCTGTCTCGGGGTATCGGACATGGCGATATCGTACGGAGAGGTGCCGAGGGACGAGGTGATGGTACCAAGATGAACCACATCAAGTGCGGCCTGCTCAGGTTCTTGCTCGGTCTGACTCTGTGCGGGTGCAGACTTCCTTCGGAAGAAGGACAAGCTCCTGCGACGACCGTGAGCAGGAGGTGTGGGTGCACGTTCAGGCTCCAATTCAGCGAGTGGCTTGAACTCAGTCTGCTCCGGAGCAGAAGCCTCCATGGTGGAATCGTCCGCAGAAACGTGCTCCTTTGTCGGGTAGGTGTGCGTCAAGCAATCCATTCCCGGAGAGCTCGACACGCGTCGCTCAAACTTGGCTCGCACCCTGGTTGGGACCTCAGGAATCGTTCCCTCTGGGATTGGCTGGCATGACTGAACAACAGGATGCTCAGCCTGGGACGGCCGCTTCTTGTGAAATCGCTTTTGCTGTTTCGACGAAGCACTGTCAAACGACGCCCTTGAACCGATGGATCGGGATGTTATTGGCGAATGTACACACTCAGACGTCGATGATCTTGTAGAAGAGCTAGTAGACGGGACCGGACTGTTCAGCGCTGGCAGGTATCGCGCCTTCTGCACATTGACTGACAGCGATTGCTTGGATCTGCCACTCTCGGCTGAGCCATCCGAATCGCTCGTGGTATTCGGCGACTCCACGAATTGACGGTTCTGTTTCACAAGAATTGAACGGCGAGTCTCGCGTCCCTGGCTTACCTCAACCATTTGCGGTGAGTCGTTGCACCGATGACACAGAATGGTGGTGGCGTTTTCCGTCGGCTCTTGACTGACTATCCGTAGACTGCCAGCGGATGAGTAGCCAGAATCGGTCGTGCGTGGTGCTGGCCGCTGAGAAGCTTTGATCTTTGGCTTGTTGGAAGCG